GTTGTTTTTATCATCTAAAACTAATCGAAATAGATATAGAATTATATATATGATGAGATTGCAAAGGACATCTGTTGGCAAAAACTTACAAAACCTCTAAATGGTTTAATGTACATACAAGTATCTTACAAATCGCTAAAGTTAACCAAACTTGCTGTGCAGCAGTTTTTTTAGCACTTATTCATACGCTACGAAAATGGGTAAAATCATATATTAAACACGCCCACTCCCCTTATATAACGGTTTGGTTGAAAACTACTAAAAGTGCGATAACTCACTGAATAAATGCGCCACAATCATTAAATGTCACAACCAATATAGTGGGGAAGAATTTTATGGGAGCAAACACCAATAAATATATCGGGATACAACTTTGCACAAGTAGTGCTCCTAAGATATTTAATGTTATGCTAAAAATTGTCGAAACCGAGCTATTAGTTTTCAAGGACCTAAACACCAAGTATATGGACCCCAATGCATTCGTTTGATTTTTTACCGAAAATATCGGCCAAACTGTGAGTTCTAGTTCTTTATATTAAAATTCGGGGAGAATACTTTTGTGCTGATATAAATATTTTCGAACTTGCGGGGGACTTCTATTATTCGATGAATATGTAATAAATCTTAGTGAAATTCTGAAAAAATATATTTCTAATAACGGTATATCTTCTTGCCTGTGATTGTAAAAAAGGAATGCAATACTTCCTATATTTAATTAAAACATATACGCAAATCCCATACATCACTTTACTTGCGAAAATATGAAATGTTTGAAAATTTCCACACAAGGTTAGATTTTGCATCGGTCAACTTGTATGGCATATGTTTTCAGAGATTATAGCAAAAGTTTTCCATACACAGACTTTTATTACATTGATCGATATAATATGGCAGCTATACCCTTTAGTATTCCCACATCGATAAATGAAGAGCTTCTGGGGGATAAAAGGACGGGTGCAATGATATCTCAAAAACAGACGGACATGACTAAATTGACTCAGCCCGTTACGCTGATTATTTTAAATTTCTTGTCAAACCTATATATCGATATACCAAAACTACTGCCCTGAATATATTTATTAATATTAGTATTCAAAAATTCTACTATTTGTTATAAGTTCTCGAGAATTTTTTTTAACTTTGACATTCTAGGAGTAATGGGGAACGGGATCGAATTTTTCTTTTTCAGCCTTTTTTTTTTATTATATTTGAGTGCTTAAAAAAATTGTATAATGACACTTTGATGGCGGCTTCAGGGCCAATCTTTGAAGTCATCTTTTTCAAGAGCTCTTCAACGGGCGACGATGATTCAGAAAAAAGTATTTATCTAGATGATATTGAAGTGCGTAAGTCTTCATATAATTTTTTCTCGAAATGGCGGTTTTGTAAAGAGAAGCTTGAATTTAAAAAAAATATAGTATGTTGTTTATTTGAAAATGTTACAAGGAAGCTACAGCTAAAGTTAAGCAATAGTCGCCGAGCAATGTTGTCGTCCGATTTGAAAATACAGTTTCGAGAAAAACTCGTTCAAAGATTTAAGCGCTGACACAGTTTTTACACTTTTCTATCAATTGAATAATGATTTTTTGACCTTAAAATATCTTTAAGCTTAAAGATATATTCGACCTTTTGTAAATAGTCCTAGTTTACCTAACTTCTTTAAACAAAAAAAAATTTCGGAACAAACCAAAAATTTTCTTATTTGGCACGCTGCTTTGGGACTCCCCGCGGATTGTATGTACATATATTGAATATCTTGTCTAGAGAAATAATTATTGAAATATTATTAAATAAATTTGTGTCATTCGAAAAATTTTTAGAAGTCTAGAGTGATGTGATTTCAGCTTTATACAATGTTAGACACACTGCTATTTAGGCATTTTCCAGAAAAGTTACGCCAAAATTGTGGTTTTAAATTTATTTATAAATAATGTGTCGGTTTTTCTGTGACACAACTTCAAAACTGCTGAGCTTCTATAAATTTAATTTAATATGTTCATTCAATATATTTTTGTAACATACATACTTTCATACATATGTATGTACTTATTTATACGTAATAAAACCGGAAAAAACAAAACTTGCATTCGAAGGTTATATGGAAATATACGACTTTTTTAAGAAAACATAAACATAACTTTGAATAAAAGTTAATGGCTGTGCAGAGTTATTGAAAATTTAAGTGGTTGGTCCAATAATAATATTTCGTTGCAAATTAGTTGAAACTTTCAATGCAAAATAACGCCGAGTACGAGTATTTTACACACATACATACATACACAAATATAAATATAAATATATTTATAATACACAAGTTACCGCTTTTGTGGCACGCGGTGGCTTTGATGACATTATTTTGCCAATATGCCACATTTTGGGGCAAAACTTAGTTTTCCTATAACAACAACAACAAATCAACACTTTTTGTTTCATTTGCATATATTATGATTCAATTGCTTGTGTTATAAAACTTTATTTGGCAATAGGTTAGCATGTGAGTGCATAAATAGTTATATGTAGATTTGTTTACACGAGCGAACGGTTAATGCTTTTGTTTGCCAAATTTTGTGGGTCCGAAAACAATAAAATAACGGATCAAAATATGTTTGAAGGCATGTATGTATATATGTACATATGTATATGCATACATTATGCGAGTTAATGCTTCTATTCGGAACAAATTAATTTGCATTGTAAACATATTAGATACAATATTATAATGTTATTACATATTAAAAAATACGCAAGTGTTTTTAGTTTTACAAAATTTAGTGTTTCATAACAATTAGGAGCTGAAAAATATTTAAATTATAGTAAAAAACTATTTATAGTTGTGTTATATAAAACTTTGCATGTTATTTCTCGTATACAAAACTTTTATTGGTTTTTTATTTAATATTCAGTGACTGGTTTTAAAGTTTTTTCTTCAAATCAGTAGGAATTTTATGAAATAAATCGTTAAGAAATCTTAGATTGGAAACCTCCAATATTTAGCTATTTATCACATAATACTCTTCACATAAAGATATTACTACGAAATGCTGATGCAATTTCGATTTTTATAAAGGAAGTTCGAAATGTTTAGCTATATTGTAGTAACACCATTTAATATAAATATAAATTTCTTTTATTCGACTTAAGCCGATAATTTAAAACTTCATTTCACTTTTCTATTTTAATTCATTTATTTTGATATAATTTAATTTTATTTTATTTTAATTAATTATATTTTCTTTCATTTTATTTTCGTAGAAAGCTAAACATTTAGTAAATATATAAATTAACCCTTTTATGTAATTAATAAACTGATATAATTTTCCACTTTGTAGAAATCCAAAGCAAACTCACCGTATAAGGACAGGAACGTTTTGAAGCGTCTTTGAATTCTAATTATGGAAAGGGCCTTGCTACTCGCTACTTTAAAGCAAAAAAATCGCAACGCGAAATTTGAACTGCACACTAGCTACTTTCCATTGCCATTGCTTCACTTTTATTACATATATACCCACACACCTAGATTATATATTTTTTCATATAAACACTAACACTTAATTTACACTAGCACACTTTTGGAAGGAAGACACGACAATAACGTGCGGAAGTCTCGCTTCCCTTTTTCACTCGCCCGCTGGTCGTCGACTGCGCATCTGTACTAAGCAAAATGCATTCATACAAGCTATCACTGCACAAAAACAACATTTCACATTTGCCAACTGAACAACACAATTTATATTCCGAAAAGCATATATTTTCATGTAATATGATTAATATAAACCCCATTTTTAGAACAAATCAAAATATTTTCACTAACTGCTTTTAAACCGCGCACTTACTCGTTACAAAACACGGAAACTAACTAAAAGAACTGGAAGTGCGACACATGGTTGTATGCGAGTTATAAAAAATATATATTTTTTGACAGTTTATGGCCTCAATAGTAGATTTTATGTATTCAAATTAATAAATTCAAATTTTACTTTAATATCATGTATTTGCAATTCTTACATTTGCTACAATCTTATACTTTCGATTACTTTACCGATAAAAACAATATTTTATAAATTTGTTGACCAAAATTTAATATATTTGATTGTTGGAGAAACAAAATTTAAACAATTTTTTATTCAAAATGTATGTATTTTTTATTTTGTCAAATTTTTAAATTCAGTTTACTAACAATAATTTTATAAGTTAATTCCGTACTAGTTAATAATTTAATTTAAGAAATTTTATACATTTCTTTTTTTGTTTAAAATACTTACTTTCCAGTATAATTACCATTCTGTATCCGCTTCCCAGCTGTTTTAGTTAGTTTCCGCGTTTTTAAACGAGTGTACCGCCAATGTAATAGTGAAAATGGAAAATTTTTAAATTATGTTTTAAAAATATAATAACTAGTGTTGTGACTATCAGATCGGGAATATATGTACATATGTATATGCAAAGCATGCATACTTCATACAAATGAGATAAGTTTGTAATTTCGACGACTCATGCGCGAATGGCTTCATACGCCATGATTTGGCAATCTAATATATTTTAGGGAGAAATTAGAATGTTCAAGTGTTTTTATGCAGTATTCTTTACGGAAATAGTTATTTAGTGTAAATGTGCCTCCGAAAAGCATAATCCGCAAAGGAAAAGCAAGTGTACAAAGTAGTTTTGTGAAAAAAGAACCCTCATTGGGCATATTTGCCAAAGTATGCGTCTGAAGAAGGCAGCCTTGTGCTTAGTGTGCGTAAAAGTGTTTATAGCGAAATAAATAAATTAAAATATATAAAAAATATATATTACTTTTGCGATATTAATATCGATCAAATGCAAAGGTAAATTCAAAGAATTCTAGAAGACAGAAACTGATTTTGTAGGATTTGAGCTGGTAAATACGGTAAATATTATTTGTTTTATATATAAATATACAATAAGTGTACTCTTAAAAATTCATTTGAAGTATTTAAATACTTACATAATCGCATGCCATTGCATTAAAAGCTTTTCAATTTCACAACAAATTCTTGTAATTGTACAAACAATTCCATTTTATTGTCTTCGTTTCCAATTTTCGACTTCAATAAAAGTTAACAATATATACACTTTCATTAAAGTATTTACATAAATGCAAACATATGTTAAAATACTAGTTCTATTTATATAAAAATAAACAAAAGCTTTCATAGATTCACGCTATCATGACTTTGGGTGGAGTAATAACAAATGGTGAGGCGGCGCTTTAGATGCGAGTAGCTTCCGTTGTTGTTGTAGAGGAATCAGCGCGCGCCTTTTCCATCTGCCGTTTTTTGCTCTGCCAACCATTGAGCTATTTGCACCTTATTCTTTTGCAGCCATTTAATATTGAATTTGACTGTTTCCAACGCTTGCTTGCGCGCAGCTGTGCCAGCACCCGCTTCAGGATACTTCGCAAAGAATGCTTCCATTTCTTCCAATTTTGTTTGCGTTACAAAGCTTGCTGTAATCGATGGTATTAAACGACCGAGATAACGTTCGTTGATGCCAAAACGTTCAACTAAACGTGGCCAATTCTCACGTACATAATCCCACACTAAACTTTGACCGATGCGATTGTTGGAAAGATACCTAAGGCAAGTGAAGTAATCTTGGCCGCGAACATAGCTCTCATTCCAGGCCAAATTGATGTAACTGAACATGAGTGATCAATGTCAATATGAGAATTGCTAAAGATATTATATATTGTATGTGCAATACTTACCGTTGCAAAATCCATGGTGAATTCACCGCCGCTAAAGCTTCCATTAATTTGACTTTCTCTTGTGCATCCGTCTCGTTGATAAACAATGCCCACACTTGATTCCATGAATATTCATTGCCCACACTTTGCATGCCATAATAATATACAGCCGAACGTATGTCTGGATTGGGTCTTACGCTAGGATTACTTAACCACTCCGTAAAGCGTGTGGCGGCTTCAGTCAACATTGGTTGGTATTCGAACCGACCAGCTAGACTTAATATTTTAACACGTACCAAACTGAAATAATGATTTTTTCGTGTTATATAAATGATTTGTTTTAAAAAAATTTACTGTACAAAAAATTTACTTGTCCAAATGATCGTTGCTAACATTCCACGTGACACTTTCATAAGCCTGCGCAAGTAATTTCCGTCCGAAAACGACAAAGTCACGATATGAATCCGTATAGTAAAGCAGACTTCTGATATCTGAAAGGCGTGCACTGGCAACACTCCATGGCACATAATCCAGTTCTTTTTCTAGGTAGAGTGACAAGTTCAATGCAATACTATATTCCAATTGTGCGGCATCGGCTAAGGAGAAGGCATCATTGATGAGATGCGCACGATCGGCATTGCTAAACTGTCCGCGTGCGTTAATCAGCGCATTTGTCAGTTCTTGCCATTGTTCGGGCGCATAATTTACACGATAATAACCAACTTGATTTTTGTTAAACTTAATCCAATCGACAGCGTTGCTCAGCGTTATTTTAACTGCGTGTATAAGAATATGTGAAAGTTATAAAAAAAAATATATAATTACTGGTGATTTCGTGCATTTACCTTCATTATCGTTGTAATTGAAGATTGTTCGTGCAACTTGAGCGTTCTCGTTGGTGAAATATGTTATCGGTATGGACCAGTGGTAGCTGTAAAACAAAATTGAAAGTTTTTAATTTTTATTTTTTAATTCTTTGTTATAGGTATATATATAATTAACTCACTTGAACTTGGATTCTTCGAAATCGGCACTGTAGTCTTCTGGATTTGCTAGGAAGCGTTTTTGCGTAAGCGTATACGTATTGCCATCCTTTTTAACTTCAACGACCGGCAAGCCCATTTGTTCAGTCCATGTTTGCATAATTAATCTGTAAAATAATAAAATGCGTAAATAAATAGACTTATAAATATTATTTGCACTCACTTCACATCGAAATCGGATTCCAGTGCTTCGATTTCCGTTAAGAAATCATCTGTCTCAGCATTCATGTAGTAGAATTTATTAAGGTAATTCGTGGTGGCATTGCGGAATTTCTCCTCACCCACCAGATCTTCTAGCATACGTATAACGGAAGCACCTTTCGAATATGTAATACTATCGAAAAGCTCTGTGATTTGCGCAGGACTTTCCACCGTTTGCACAATGGGATGTGACGCCAACGTGGCGTCCAGTTCGAGTACATCATGCAAATCAGCAACAATGAATTGATCCAGCTGGCATATGAAAACAGAAAATAAAATCAATTTAGTGCTAAAATTTATATAAGTATATTAAAATTAATTCACCATAGCCCATTCGGGATGCACTTTATTCACACCCTTGTACTCAATATAGCTGGCAAAACCTTCATTTAGCCACAAATCATTCCACCATTTCATGGTCACTATAGAAAAAATTAAGAGAAAGGAATGATGATATAAAAACTAGTAATGCTAAATCAATTTCCAAGCCGTGAGCAATAACGGTTTTGATTGTACCAAGGCCACTACAATTTAAATTCCAAACACGTTTCTAACTGCACTATTTTTGCTGCTGGCAACAGAAAAGACAGTAGATTTAAGCGAATACTAATCATACAAGCAAGCAGCGTAAACACATCATGTGATTGTGCTTGGTACTTCAGCGTGAATGTTGATAAATTACTTTTTCTTTTTGGTATTAGCACATACCGAATATAAACAACGTAAAGTCTTACCCAGATTTCCGAACCACATATGTGCCAATTCGTGCGCCACTACTGTAGCTACACGCTGTTTATTTGCACTCGAACTGATTGTGGGATCATATAGCAGAGCAGTCTCACGGTATGTCACCAATCCCCAATGTTCCATAGCACCCGAAACAAAATCTGGTATAGCAGCCATATCCAGTTTGGGTAATGGATATGCGACTTTGAAATAATCAATGTAATATTCCGTAATACCAACACCGGTATCTAAAGCATAAGAAACCTTATCAATTTGATTGGCTGTTGCAAAAACACGCATCTCAAAGTCTGCAGCACCCTGCATGACACCGTTAACGGTCTTAGATTGTGAAGCAAAATCGGATACAATCATGCAGGCTAGATAGGTGCTCATCGGCACACTTTGTTCAAATGTTACTTCCGTCGTATCACCGTTCACCACTTCACTCTAAATTATTATGAACACAAATATTTCTATTAGTTACAGTTTGGTTTTGGAATTGTAAACTTACTTGAACAGGCATGTTGGATAGCGCGTGGTAGCCGCCATTGGTAGGACGTACTACTGTGATGATAAACTCGGCTTTCAGCGCCGGCTCATCGAAGCAAGGGAAGGCAGTGCGTGCATAAGTCGGCTCGAATTTAGTGGTGGCTATCCATCTGCAAAGAAAAATAGTAAATATTTTAAGAGATTTTGGGTAATTTGTATATAAAAGTACTAATTATTAAAAAAAATGCACATTTCTTGCAACAAATCATAAACGCTTTACCACACCTGCGCTGATTTGTTTTGGTATCCAAATATGAAGACGCATAGAAGCCAACAATGCGGTCAGTAAGGGAACCGTTAAATGACAATCGCAAAGAATAGTTGCCGACTTGTAAAGGATCTGTGAATTCCGTAACCCAATATTCCAAAACTGGATGAGCAAAGGTCAAATTGGGCGTCAATTGTTCGAGTGGGGCACCTGCCTCACTTAGCTGCACTACTTCTTCTGTGGTAACATTCAATGTTTTCGCATGTACGGGTATATAAGAAATTGGTTTCAACACTTCCAATTTAATTGTAATAGTGCCTTGATATGTTTTATTCACCAAATCCGGTTGTAAAAGTAAATTATACTGGTGTGGTCGAATTTCCTTTGGCAGGCGAAAACTTAATTTCTGCAATATTTTAGAAGCGGCTGCTATGGCCGGTTCAATGGCTAAATTGGCTGATTTCATATTGATATTGGACGTGGAATAAGTCGCCGAAGATGTAGAATAGTCCGTTGTTGTTCTAATTCGCAAAATTGATAAATTTGCTGGTGAAATCAGCTGTTCATTTGTCAAATATTCGCCGGCCGTTGGTGTTGCCACAGCTGCTGACATATATGCGGGCGCGTTCACAATATTTCTGCCGACGTAAATGAGCGCACCCAGCAGGAATGTACAAAGCACGAAAAGTACCAAACAAAAACCGACAAGTGTTATGAATGCGTTATTCGGTTTTTTGCGTACATGTCGTGCATCACAGTCACGTATGCGGTAATGATGATCGTCTGTTGATAAACTGGAACGCGGCCGAACCGGTGGCACTTTTGATTGCGGGTACATTTTGCACTTTGTTTCGTTTGTTTTTATAATTGCACTATTCTTTTTTTATATTTGTTTATTATTTGGAAATGGCTGATATTAAGTTTAATAGCATTTTATTGCTAAATATTGAGTTTAAAAAAACGTAAGATTTTCAAAACGAATATTATGCATGGCATTGGTACGAATTTCATAAGAAGTAAATCCACGGCTTAAATCTGACCAATTCAGAGAACAATTTTCGTTTATATCCATTTTTTTCTTTACTTTTAAGAATTTTTAAATAATATGTGTAATATTTATAAATACTGATAAGTATTTATGTGATTTATTTTTAAACGATTGTTTTCTTGTTGCCAATTCAGATTCTTATTTTTTGATTATATTGCTCTATGACAGCTATTCTTACACCTTTTCCTTACTAAAGTAAGAAGTCTAAAGCAGCAAGGCTATGAACCTGCTATAAATCAACCACTCCGGCAAAAAGGATGATGTTAAAATTGATTAAATAATAGAAACAATGTTGTCAGACGTAACACCATTAACAAAACGAACTGACAGATTTGCGTAAGTAATATATAATATATAGAATAATTGCAAAGAAAACCAACCTTCCTTATGTTCATGACGTCATGAAGCTATGCACTGTTCTCTCGAACGCCCTCTAAGAAAAGTAAGAGTAGCAAACTGTCATAATCATTGTCTTTAACCATGAACTATGCGATAATTTATATACAACAATATAGATTATATTTCCAGAAGTGTAAAGAACTTCTTAATTTTACAAAAGTATACATAAGGATAAATCAATTGTTAATCGAGATTATATAAATCCCCAAAATATTTCGAATAATTGACCTAAAACTTTTTGAACTAACTGAAGTTAAGACTAGCATAAAACTGGCTTCAAGTATGGTATAAACTTTCTAAACGCTCTGTGTTAGTGACGACACTGTAGTGGAGTTCTTAAGATAAATTGCTTGTAATGAATATTATAACTAAGTTCTATAAATATTTTGCCTACAAATAGAAATGAAGAAAAGATGTATTTTAGTTTCTGAGTCGATTATCATTTTTCTTATTTTTCAAAGGCAAATTCCAAAAATCAAACTTATTCTGACCCACTTAATCCGCTTAGTAGAACGAGTAGTAAAACTTTTGCAGAAAAAAAATGTTTTCACTAAAGTATTGTGAGGTCGAATCATTAAAATCGAAAAAATAGATTTTTTCTAGTGGTCCAGAAGAAATTTCAGATAATAGATGAGCGCGTCGACGACGTAACTGTTCTATGTTAACCAAAGATTACAATAATTATATTGTTTTTTTTTCTATAAGTGAAAATTTTCACTTGAAAATCGATTTCCAAGTTCAAACATAGGAAATATTATTAATTTTCAGTTTTCATTGACTCAGTTGAACCTCAGTTATATAGAGGAAAAAAGTATATAAACTAACTATATACTTATATTCACTATTACAGTTACGAAAGACGGACGCTACATAAAAAAAAAAAACTTACAAACACTCAAAGCATACATACATAAGAATATTAATTGTTATCGTCAAAGTTATTCAACGAGCTGTTTCCTGCGAGCGATTCTCACCAATCCATGTTATTGGGACTAACACGGTTTTCTAATTTAAAGATAGATTATATAAGGTTTCGAGGATATGAAAAAACGTACTTAGCACTTCCGCCCACAAAATGGTAATTTAGAGTCGGACATATAACTTTACTCTTGAACAACTCTTTAAAGGTTAGCATGCAAATCAGCACTCTGCTTGATAAAGGTTAATTAGTGGGGCTCCAAACGATATTTAATTTTCTTTCATTCATCTTTAATATTCATTATAATTTATAGAGTTTGTTGAGGTCCCTAAGTTACCGAATTGTTTTCTTTTAAGATTCCTTATTTTTCATATTTTCAGAAATGATGACTTAAATTTGGAAAACTGAGCGGTTTTTTAGTAGATGCTTCTCATTCATCAATAATTTTTTAAAATTTATCAATATCATTTCATTAATTGAACACTAAGTATAAGATTATTCAAATGCAGACTTTTCCCTACAATGAAAAAATTTGCAAAAAGTTTTAATGCAAAATTTTAGATTAATAAAAAAACTTTTAAACAGTTTTTGATCTTTTATTCATAATCTTTCCTTCTGGGTGCTACAAACTTCATAGCACATTGAAGATAGGGTACAGATTCAGGCTATAAAAAACATAAAATTCGAGTACTTCACAATTTATACACATATCTACATAGATATGTATGCGCATCGAAGAGATTGCTAAACGATACGAAAGCTATTGCTTTAGCTGAAATAATCATTCAAAAGCGTTTAACTTAAATGCAAATACACGCTCTAAAATCAGATAAAACTCACACTAGTCAAAGCGCATTAGGACACACACACACACGCGCATACATGCATGCACAATTAATAATTTACATATACACATGTACATATGTGTCCAAGCCTGTTTTCTTCCATTTCATTTGCATCTATTTGTCATATTGCAAAATTAAGTGAATTTATATGGCAGTGAATGTGCGCTTCGGTTGCCGCCTCGCGATCGACATGCGATCGCTTTTTGTTGCTTCGTGTGAAATGACAATGAGATAACGTAATGAAATTAAAATTAATTTAGTTCCTATTGTTGTTGTATGGTGATTGCATGGGGCAAGAGCATTAATTGGAGCAATAAATCGTAGTGAAGTAATAGACAATTGCAACGCACTCACACACTCACACAAGCGTGCTAAATGCACTGTAATTAAACAAATTTCAGTTTTGTATAATTGCAATTGCAATCTGTGCATTTATCGTACGAGCATATTTGCGCAAATATTTATAAAAACTCAAGCTTTTTTGCTGCTAGTCTAATTGCATTCTCAATAACATTCGCTTTTCATAAGAAACAAGACAATAAGAACTCTGCAGAAATCTTAACCTAGTTCAAGCTCACGCAAGTCCAATCGAGTATATCGAACTATGTGGCAGAGACATTTACATGCCATGAAATATAGAAATATGAAATTACACAGACACCCAGCAAACAATTTGCGTTCAAAAACAACTTGAGTTGCTGGAAATTAGAAGCAATGAGGTATCGCTGCTTCTGGCTAAGGCGATCAACAGATTATACTAAATTCAGAGAATTGTTCAAGCTAAGAGGCAGGCTTAGACAGTTTAGTTAAGCATTTTAAGATATTTTCACATTCGCTTCTGTTCCTGATTTTGAATAGCAATTCTCTTACGGACTTGATATCAACGCCATCTTTAGGCGATATTTTTCCAACCTATAAAAAGAAGTTCAGGGCCTTACAGTATAACCATATAAGAATTATTAAACCTAAATACTTCATTAATAAGCGTATTCTAAGACGTAAAAGTTGTGAGTAGTGATTGCAAAGCTTAGAAAGTTAGCGTTCGAAAACTGATGCGTCACTCTAATATTGAGAGAGGAATGTGACAATTTGATACAAGAGATTTATGCTGAAGACATATCAGTCAGCTAAAACATATTTTTACATAAAGAAATCTATTTTTCAATATATTATTTAAAAAACTCCTTTTCAACTATATTTGATTAAAGCTCAGTATGCTTGTTTCTTCATTTACAGTTTTTATACCTCATTAAATTTGTAAAAAAAATTGACTGATTTACCAATTTTCGGTTGTCCGCATGCATACAAACCTATGTTACGTATATGCAGTTGTATATATATATATATATATATATAATATGTTGTATATATTTAAATATACAGTTGTTTATATTTAGATAATTGCAGCATAAAAAACAGTGGAAAGTAGAAAGCCCGACTACATGAAAATTGAGCTAAAATAAGAGTTGACCACGAAAATGTGAAGCAACCAGTTGTTTTGTAAATGTGACAGTTCTATAATGCAATTCGAGTTGAAAACATTTAAAAACATATGTACACATTTATGTGCATATGCTATTTTATGGAGCAAATGGCAGCAAGTGGGTCAAAGTTAATTTGCTAGTTTAAGTCAGTTGAATTTACTAAATCGTCATAAACGAGAAAAAGCTGGTTTTATATAAAAAATACTTTAACCTAACAAACATATATAAATATATTAGTATGTTTATGACAACGTAATATGAGTACATGTGTGGAATATTATAATAAAAGTGAATAAATAGACGCGTGTTCTTAACGCTCCATTAAACGCAAAAAAAAGACATAACCTTAAATTTTTAAATTAATTTTTTTTACATTTTTTTTGTGTATAATTTTTTTTTTTTTGGTTTTTGGTACTTAAAACCGTCTGATCTTAATGAAATTAGTAATAATAATTTAAACAAAAAATTACGCAGTTTTAATACAGGGTTCAGTGCACAGAGAAATTCTCGTTCATTTTTTTCGTGAAAAATATCATCGGGTCAATTTATTGCAATTTAAATGCAATATTCACACAAAAATATTTGTTTACAACCATACCTTTATGTAAATATGCATGTATATATTTGTAAAAAATTTTATATGCGTGAATAATTTGTGTTTGTTTTTGTGCAAAAAAACTCATTAATATGCACAGCATTGTTCGCTTGCCTCAATTATTAACCGCTAAATTGGCAAATACTGGATTGAGATATGTGGCTATGCGGACATACAAACAAGTTGATTGCTTTGCACTGCCAAAAATAATAAAATAAATGTACATATCACTCAATTACACTCACAAAAATGTATGGCATTTAAAATTGTGTAAATACCAGCATTTATCGGTCTGTTATTATTGAAATTTCCGCCAAGCTTTATCCAGAGCTAAAGCCAAAGGCAAATCGTGAGGAAATGGTGTAAGCAAATTTTGTGCGCGTAACATGCCGTTATAACTTTTTTCACTTTTTTATTATCTCGAAGTTAATTAGAAAGTCAATGAGCAGCGAGCAGAGTTTGGCTTGGTTAATAACTTTAGTTTAATAGGTTGTTCATAAACGTGAAATGGGCAATAAACACATACAAATAGGTGCATATAATTGTGGTTCTATAGGGTGTTTTTTCGAGGTTTAAAGTTTTCTTGAAAGTTAGCTGTCAAAGCAAGCAATTTCTTTTTCGGCAGATTATCAAAACCGAGAAACAATTATTGCCGTGTTTTGTTTACATGACGAAGGTATTATTGGTCCACACTTTTTTTAAACTGAAGGTGGCTCTACTGTTACAGTTACTGTTGCAAATAAGCAAAAGATTCACGTTCTTTTGGTTCCCTGTGAAAATATTAATCGTATGAATACTAAGTGGTTCGGTTTGGGTTGGGCACCAAGTCATATAACGCGTGAAACCATTACTTTACTGTGATCACATCTTGTCTTTTGAATTAATATTTACATTTATTAATTACAGCAATTGTATATGTATATTTACATTAAAAGCGGCTCTAAAAATTACTCTAACAAGAAAAATAAATAAATTCACAGAGTTGTAACCAGACATGAAATATGAAAGCCATGCATTACAATAAAATTTGCAAGTCTGAAGAACGCGTTAAGAAATTGTTAAACCAAGCAGGCCAAAATATAATCATTATTTCATCAGCAGAGTTGCCAATAGTTTAAAAATTGAAAAAAAAAATGATATTCACAAAAATTATTATTTATAGCTAAAATTTAATAATATGCTATAATACAT